CTCAGAGCCTCAGAATACGGAAATCTGTATTTTTATATATTTTTTTCCTTCTAATTCGTTATTCTTTTCAAAATAACACACTGTTATTTACTCACCAATAACACACAATTATCCTTGCTTTTATTTATTGGTTTAATTCCATAATCTCGGGCTTTTTTGGCATCCGTGAGGAACTGAATTTCAAAATAAAAATAACCGGAAACAGACGTAGGCCTATAAGGGACATTTCGAGCGATTGTCAACATTTCTGAGTTTAGGATGGCCGAAGACACTACACTACCCATAATCCCCAGCTATCGTTTAGGACTACAGTCCCCGTAAGGTTACGCAGAGCGTCAAACAGCTGTGTGAAATGGAACGAAACCACGCCAGACTATCCAAAACTGGAATCGAACGCCCCCCCAGAACTACACATGCTGGCTATTGTGTTTCGCAAAATGTTCTTTGGGACGTCTCTACTGAACGTTTTCGTTTTCCCCACAATTAGAAGTTGCCAGTATTAAACACATTGGTGTTATCAAATGTAAAACATATAATTAATAAATGGGTGAAAATCGCTTGTGTCCATAATGCGCAGCATTAATATATATACCCACATGACAGCTCATTGTTACTTTGTAATTCTACTCCACTACAATTCAGAGGTTAACCTGGTATTTTTACTCCACTGCATTTATTTGAGTTACTTTGCAGATTCTGATTAATGATGTGAAATATAAATAACCCTTAAATCAGACTTTAGTTACACCTGAGTAAAATTCAGGGAAGGTGATTGTCAAGTGCCAACAATCAGGAGAGATATTTGATAGTTGGTGCTTGAGAAGACTAAACATGTATCTGCAATTGACATGAATGGAAACGAGTAATAAAGTATATTCATTACTCGTTATTCTCTACTAATAGTTAATTAAAGACTGTATATTATGGCTATTTTGCACATCCCTTTCAAGATTTTCAAAGGTTGATTGACATATCATATACACAACTACGGTGTAGTTATGCAATGAATGAAACACTTGGGTCACAGGTTCCTCAACAAGACATCTATCAATATGTGTGTACCTCCACCATCAAACTGTCATATTCTGCACATTTCTTATTCTATCTACATACATAAGAGTATAATTCATATGTATAATATCAGTTCAAATAAGTGCTTCAACATAGTTAACATTGCAGGAAAGCAATATATTAGACGTTAAGTATTTTGTCAGGCTTAATATTTATCTGTAGATAGATACCCCCAACGTTTTTTTCTTATTTAAAAGAAGACCTTAATCTGTTATTTAATGTTTAAATAAAGGTTCATTCGTTTTTCTGTTTTGCACCTCCTCCTATTAATATCTTTGTACATTCTGCACTAAACTGTTTTATTGTAGAGATCACTTATAGTATCTTCTTGATTTTTTATATTCTATATTTATACTTTCCCCCTATGAAAGTATGTACTCTTAATATTTTTTTAATCAAATAAAACACAATAATTCAATAACGTGCTTTAACCACTAGGAGGTGCACACAAGGTACACACAGCCATAATAACTTTGTATTATTAGTGTAGGACACTTATGTTTTCGTACAACATCTGAAGATGTGTAGTTTTATGCATGCTTTCACATAATTTTACAGCATATTGCTATACTATTTCAGACTCAGTATTTACATTCTTCCATTCAAAGAAAATCAGTAATATCTTTAAAAACTACAGTCCTTTTATATCAGCTGTGCACCGTTATGGTGTAAATATAACCTATCTGTGAATTAGATCAAATGTAAAAGTCAGCCGAATTAGTGTTGATACTGCAAGGAGACGTATTGTGTGAAGAGAAATTGAAGATGTTGTTTAATTGTTGAATATATTTATGATCCACGTCAAGTATTCAGTTTCGGCGGCATTTTCTCAGTTTTTCCAAAGGTCTTCTCATCAGGGCTCTATAAATAAAGAACTACGGCAGATCTGTAATATACAATGCAGCCGAACCGTGTATTACAATGCCGTTATGTGATGACTTTCAAAGAGAAAAGCAAGAGCGCTCGGAATTAAGTATTATTTTATTCTTTTAAAATGTTTTCCGGATTTCATATCATATAAACACCAAATCCCAGCATGCATTGCGGCTAAAACATCCAATAAACAAGCTTAAAACCATAGCTGAGGATCTTGGGTAATCGCTCGAAATGCCTACGTCATGTAAAAAAAAAAGAAGATTATCCAGGTTTAAACACATATATTGTATATGTTGATGTGTTGGCAGCGTATTAAACCATGTGAATCATTAAGTTAAAGATGACTCTGAATTTTAATGCTAGGCTATTTTTCTAAAATGATGGCTATGGGGTAAAGTGAACCATGGGCCGTGGGGTAAGTTGAGCCAGTTTTTCAATGGAGAAATTCATTAAAGTAGGCCAAGTTGATAATAAGAGCTCATTGTAGGCTACATTTAAAGTTGAATTTACCCTGTGTTTGATTGGTAAGATGTATGAAATTGTATCACCATTTGTATGATTACTTTTCCTTTTAACATGTTAAAAAAAATCAATCAATTCAATCGAAATGTATATTAAAAATATTTGAAAAACTAAGCTTGTATTTGGTTTGTTATTTATTGTTTATAGTTACCTTTAAGATTTGTTGTAGGTATGCCCAGGTTTGAACAGTGGTTCAATTTACCCCCTGACCTGGATCAACTTACCCCTACACTATACCTCCTCCCCTTATGTCTTGAACTAACTTTTAAGATAAAGGCCCCCCCCTTACAGTATTTCTGTAACTATCTTTTTAGTTAAGGGTCCCCCCTCATATAAAGGTTCGAAGGTCCCCCTCCCCCCCTTATGTCCCGAATACACTTTTTAGATAAGGGTCCGACTTATATAAACCTTTTACTTTTCTGATAAGGATCCCCCATTATGTCCAGAATTCACTTTTTAGATAAGGACTATAATTCGCCTTATTTTGACATAAAATACTATATTTTCATTTTTTTCAATTGTCGGTTTTTTCATTTTACGACATAGTATATTATGTTGTTTTTGTCATTTTTATCGACATTGTATGTAATTTATGTCATTTTTTATTGACATACTATACACCTTATTTTGACATAAAATATATAGGCTACTATGTCGTTTTGTTGCGGAAATTCGCCATAAAGACCTTTCTGAACATTAAAGCATGACATGTCACAGTAGAGGCATAGAATACAAATATGAACCTGAAAAATGAACATAATAGGGTCCCTTTAAAAAAACACAGCTTTTCAAATAGCTGCATGAGAAAATAACTCATTTGTAAAATGTTGAAACAATCTTTCTTTTGATGTCTTTAAATGATTCGCTTCTGGTGAGAAACATCATTTTGTTGCTGAATAATAATAGAACGTTGTTAGAGCCAATTAACCAACTAAGAAGTGTCAGAATGTGTTTACGCGTGGAGGCAAACATTTGGACCCAGGAGAGAGGAGACGATCAACGTAGCGTGTCACTCACTTCCTGTCTTTTTCCTGATCCCACAGGATAAATCTGTGTCAGCAACAACTCCACAGCTTCAATTTGTTTATTGCCATCTCTGCTTCTGTCTCACATCCCAACTCCTCCCGTCTGTCCGCCTCTCTCTCTCCCTCTCACACACTTTGTAGCTCTCCGTCTTTTTCCCTGTCCGTCTGCCTCTTCCTTCTCGTGTTCCTTCTCTCTTTCTGTCCCTCAGGACGGATGTGTTTACTCTTTGTCTCTTCGTCTCGTTCCTCTCCAGCGGAGGATGGAGACGTGTCTCGCCGTCGTGGCTACCGCATGGCTGCTTTGGGAATAACAGCTGCCACCTTGGTTGTTGGGAAACTGACAGAGAAGAACCAGAAAAAGGGGAATAACATGCAAAACAGTTTCAAAGCTCTAAGTCAAAGTTTGAATTTCTTTAGTCTAATTAGGTCAGTCTTAGAAAATAAATATCATACACACACACCTGGACTATAATGCAGAGCAAGTGAAAGCACATCACCCTCCCTTTATCTGCTTTTCCCAAAGTGCCTCAGATCAAATCAGGGAACCACAGTGGAGCTTCTGATTGGCCGACAGCGGTTCTGCTGGTCAGGTCCCAGGTGTGTGTTTGTTTGTGTGTGTGTGTGTGTGTGTGTGGTGGTGTGTGTGTTAATCTCCAACAACCACTCCCCTTAGGCCTGTGCTATAAATATCAGTGTGTTTGTTCTCATGTTGCAGCGTTAGGTAACACCGAGGCAGATGCTGATGAGATGATTAACTGTGAGGCAGTTTAGCTAAATTCATTTAAAGAGTAACGCACCAATGATGACAGTTTTCCAGTTGACCTCATCCCACCCATCCCAAGCATTTAATGGAAGCTAACCGATCAGATCTACACATTAGCATCACACTTTAGATATGACAACAGTCTGCGTGACTGACGAAATATATCATATATTTTCAATGCAGTTGCTATTTCAAAATAGTTTCTTTGAATGACCAAAGAAGCATCTTGTTTTTCACAGAGCACAACAAATGATCTATGAATCCATCTGTGACAGATAGCCATTAGGGGCTAGTGTATTGATTATTGCAGCTCAGTAGAAGAGAAATGAGTGTGAATTTAAAGCACACTCAGCAAATTGCTTTATTACACTAAAAACAATATGCAGCTTCTTGCCTTCTGTGAGATGTAGTTGCATTTAAAGCCGTAATCAACAGTTGTTGTCCCCATACTTCGAAATTCCCCCTGTGATCTTCAGATGGGTCAGGTCAGACTCTTGCTATTCATTTATCTTGTTCGTTTGACTCAAACAGGCCCAGATGATTTCACCTTTCCATTTCTGTGAAAATGCTTGGAAATCCGGATGAATCCCCCGTTTGGACAGCTGTAGAAACGCGTAGAACAGTTCATACAGCATGATATATCCCTCGGTTAGACCATCATAAAAGGCCTCAGCTGAATTGCATCATCGGCGTATCACACTTACTATAGTGCTATGGGGAAGGTGTTAGAGACATTAAGCAACTTGTTACACCAAAAAGGTTTTTTATTCTCATTGTGACGGCAAAATCAATATTTACAGCTTTAATGAAAGAGTTCAGTCGGACCAGCATAATGGGAAAAGGCTTTTACATAGTTGTCTCTTTTGTTTTTAAATAAATAGGGAAAGGATGCGTCACAGTAGAATCTTTTCATCTCCAGTAAACTCCCCCATTTCAATGAAGAAACAACAGGAAATTGTGAAGATTTAGGCAAAAGTAAAAAAACAATTACACCAATTAACTTTGTGGTAAAACTAAAAGTGTTTGATCTTACATTTCCCATAATGCAACCAATAACATTATTTTCAAGAGCGGCGAAAGTGTTTTAAAACTTCATATTTCACTTATTTTACTTAAAGTACTGTGAACAGGAGACTTGGATTACATTGTAAAGCAGACACGTGGCTAATTTAGCAAACAGCTATTTAGTTCAGTCCAATCATGACGACACACTCAGTCCATTTTGTGATTGGTTTGAGCTTTTAGTCAAATCAGTATCTTTTGATATATTTCCCACCATGATTAAATGAAAAACAAACAGACACTCTTCTGAGCGTTTGCCAGTCAAGTTTTATTTCATCTTTGAGAAAAAAAAGAAATAAAAGAAAAGTTTGGTCTTTGTAAACATCTATATCGGTTTTCATGTCATGTCATTTTCAGCATTTAAAAATACTATACTCTTTACTACGACATTTCCAACATCAACACTGTATTCAGAATGAGTTTAATTCATGCATCGACACACTCGTGGACGGAAGGATGAAAAGATGCGCGCGTCCACACACACTCGCTCACACAATAAAAAAGGGATAATAGCACACTATTTAAATTGTAACTATGCTAATTTCCTGTTCTACTCCGAGGGCTTTTTTTCATTTTACAAAACAAAATCACCAAAACAACATAAAACCTTGGACACAAATTAAATATTGCACAATAAAATAATAATAATAAAATAAATTGAAAAATTGAAATGAAAGATAATTATATCAAAAGCACTTTGTGACCTCATAAATAGGGTGGCATGATATATAAATAAAATGGAAAGCAGGAAGTGATATAATATATAAATATTTAGAAGGTAGAGGGGTACAAAACATTGATAAATAGAGGTTGATCAACACACACACACACACACACACACACACACACACACACACACACACACACACACTAGAGATGTCTCTGAAATTAAAATGTGAAAATTGGTTCTTTACAAGCTCAGTATCTTTATATCTCTAACTCATATACACATAATGATTTATGTCTGTAAACACACACTCAGACACACATGCACAAATAATCGACCTCGCAACCGTCACTTAAAGCGTCAACTAAATACACTTTCTTAGCGGGCTTCTGTTGTCATTTTCCAACTAAATTAAAGTGTAACATTGCTAGGAAATATGTTAAGTTTAAAAGAGAGCCAGAGTTTTGTGTGTGTGTGTGTGTGGATTGCTTGTTGATAACCATATCAATCATCTGTGTTTCTACAAGTGCAGTACGTGTGTATGTGTTATTTACATGTGTGTGATTGTCAGCATCATGACATCATGCAATCGGTTTGTAGAGTCAGTGACCTTAATGTATGACAGCTACTCACACACTGTACACACAAACACACACTTCTTCAAACAATGTGCCACCATCTATTTCAATCTTGATTGCCAGCCAAATCTAATATACGTCTAATTCGATACACACACACACACACACACACACACACACACACACACACACACACACACACACACACACACACACACACACACACACACACACACACACACACACACACACACACACACACACAGGAAATGGAGGGAATCCAATTTCCAGGCCTTTTTTTACTGTGGGTCAGGTTGGCATTCAGATTCATTAATCTGGCGTTTGGGACTCAGCCAGGGACGCGGGGGGCAAGCCCTTATAAGGAGATTACAACACCAAGCGGCACAAACAAACAAAGGCATACATACGCATGTAGACCTACACACAACGGATACACATGCAAACAAGGTGAGACATGAGGAACACAAAGGAAACGATACACACACGTCGGAGGAAACGAAGAGTAATACATGTAGGAATTGGACCGCAGAGAGAGATCTAATGAATGAGAAACTGTCACATTCACTCTAAGAAGGGCAAGTGAGAAACATCAAAGGAGAGGGACACACACACCAGCATCAGTCAAGAAGACAACGGCTCGCAGTTAGATGGTCGCTAAGCAACAGGCAAGAGACTAAAAATATGGTTGCGTTTCTTCACTCACTTAGAAAGCATGCACGCGCACACACACACACAAAGTCAGTCTTATTCCAAAAAGGATTATGAACCTTTAAAGAGCCTACATTTCTAAATCAGTCTCAGTATTCTTGTGGCGTCACTATGATCCCGCCCACTCAGTCTTGGCCCTGCAAACGTTAGAGGCTGGAGTCATGGAGAGACCGTTTGGCGCCTCAGAGGGTCAGGAGCCATGCCAACGTGTAAGTCATGTCAAAACTAACTGATGACCGACTCCTGTGTTTGAAAATATACGGTGCGCTGCAGGACTGACTCAGGATTTGAGAGGATCTGGATGGTCAGTCTGACAGGTTCAAATAGGTACGGGTAATTCCAACATCATGTCAACAAGCACCGGGACTAAGATTGAGGATAGTGGGATACTTTCAGTAGATTCTTCTACTTTAAGACATTTAGATCTGCATGTTGGGAAACTAATGGAAATATAACAGAATAAAACACGAGAACTCGTAATAAAATAGTATCTGTTTGGGGGTTTGACAAACTTTTCTCTCCAGGATTGGATTCCTGACCTCAATATTTTTCCCAAAAGGCCCTGGAAGCACTTAACATGCTGAAGAGTCCTCTGTGGGGGTGTAAACCTGTGTCTAATTTCTAGACAGCAATAGGAAATATTTGCAGCCAAGAAATATTCTTTTGAAAGAGGGCAAGCGCATCGATGGCAGGGGGCCACATCTCTTTATCAGTGAATATTGGCTGTGCCTGTCAGATATCAGCTGATGCAGAAAACAGCTGTTCAAGGTAGATTTTACTGCCACTTTAACAGATTTTCTGCAATTAAGATTGGATTCCTTCCTTTATGGCTGTCAGAAAATGATGGGGACTGCTGTGGCGTTTAAAACGTCACATTTGATTGAAGGGGTGACGCAGGAAGTCATTTCCACCCGTGTGTTTTTGAGCCTGGTGAAGACTGAGCGGGCTTTGTAAGAATTTACATACAATTGAAAGCAGCGGGTAATTTGTCCTTATCTGAAAGAAAAAGGGCGGATGGTGGGCAGGTAAATTGTTGTTTTCGGTCCCATTTTGCTCTCTGTGGATTAAACAAAAAAGCTAAATTATTGTCCTTACAGGATTTTCCTTGAAGTTTACAACGAGCTGTGTGGGCAGCTGAGGGGAAAATGGTTGCTCGTACGCTGCTGTTAACAGAGGGATTACATTTAATAATCACCTGCACCATATGCCATCCCTTCTGCCCAGCTTCAGCCCAGCCCCTGGGCAAGGCAGGGCTATAAACACATACGTTATATAAATCTGGATTCAACGCACTTTGAAAAAGTGAGGATTTCATATGATATGTGGCATAATATTCTCTACTACAAACCTTCACACACACCATGCCTCAATCAATATAGAAGGGCTTCTATACAAAAACGAAATAGTTAGCACAGCTTTTGATAAAGGCTCGTACCCATAAAAATACCAATGGTTAAGCACATAGATCTGTAGTGTGAACACCTTTAAATATGAGTTTTTTTACACCTGGCAGCTGGTGGGACTTGTACGACGCCTGCGAGGTAAAACGGCACACTGGAGATGAACGGTGATCTGTGACATTGTTCTTCTATTACATCTTTGGATAACAGAGGATTTGTGATTTTTGTTCAAAGAAACATCCTAACGTGACGACTGCCACAGAACAGTCGTGTGATATTTCAGAGCTGCCGTACATTTCCCTCAGAGACTCCTCTCTGTCTGTGAGTCCTCCAGCCTTTTTCCCTGGTGGTGGGATTCCCTTAAATGTCTCCTTGAACTGTGTTTCAGAGGAAAGAAGGGCGACAATTTCCTATTTCCTCCGGGGTTTTCACATAAATTAAATATCAGTGTTTCTCACACACATCAATAAAAGTTTCTTATATTATCATGTACAATTAGAAACACTAGTCATAGTTTGATTCGTCATCAATGTCCTCCTCTTCATAGTCGTTAACTGGCGTCCATCTTGTTCTGAAGATAGCGTTACATCATTTCCTGTTTAGTCCCGATTTTCGTTTCTTCGCCATTACAAGCGACTTTCGAGTGTTAACAGCTATGCTGTGTATTGCACGACGCTTCTTCATTCAACTTTTACAAAGTGGACTGCTTGGTTTTCCAGACTTTTTTATCACACGTTTCTTCTCCATCCCACTTTTCTCCCAGATGCTAATCCGACATTTTGAATCCTCATGTTACATTCTTCCGAACCACCTGCTTAAACCTTTTTTACCTCCATATCTCCATACTATATTTATATGTCTTTATCTTAGTTAACTTTTTTTTTTTTTTTTACAATTGCACGGTAACAACATCAACACGTGACGCCATTGAAAAGTTTAGAAAAGAAAGGAGGGGGGGGGGAGACTCCATGGTGGGATAAACGAGGCTGCTGATTGGCGCAAAAGGAGGAGGACTTGGGATTGGCTCAATTAAAAAGAGGGATTGATGGTGGTTACTACAGCGTTTCATTATCACAACTTTAAGACAAGTCCTACAGCGGGTAAGGCAAAGGGAGGGATGAGTGTTTTGTAGGAAAGAGTGTGTGTGGAGGGGTGGAGAGTATATTTCGCAGTGTATTCACGAAAAAAAGAAAATGGAACAGTCCTGTGTTATCCTGCGAGAGGTCCTCCAATGTTATTCACCTGAGGCCCCACATTGTGTGTGTGTGTGTGTGTGTGTGTGTGTGTATGTGTGTGTGTGTGTGTGTGTGTGTGTGTGTGTGTGTGTGTGTGTGTGTGTGTGTGTGTGTGTGTGTGTGTACATCTGGGATAGGGGTTCAACCTATAAGTCACTGGTAGTATTAACAGAGTACAGTGGGTATGATTCTTCCTGTGTAGACCAGATAGGAAAAAGCAGAAAGTAGCAAGAGAGAGAAAGTGAGGAGAAGAATATGTATTCGAATCCATTCTTCTTTTTCTTGTTTCTTCTCCAGTCAGTCCATCGACTTTATCCACAACATTTTTCTAGTTGTTTTGCCTCCATGTCCTCTTTTATCTTCCTCCCTAAATCTTCCTCTTCAACTTTTTCTCCGAGTGATGGCGTCACACCTCTCCTTGCTCCAAATCTCTTTTTCTCTCCTGCTGATTTGGCAGTATATTGAACGATATCAGATTAACTATTAAACCGTGTGGTCCACTGACGATGATGGATGATTGAGGTAACAACATAAAAGCTCCTTTAAAACATACATTTATGTGAAATAAATCTTAGTTAGGAGGGTTTATGTCTCTTTAACACTGGGTAGATGGTGGGACTCCTTTCCTAAAAGAGCTGCTAATGCAAAAATGACTTAGTGTTTGCAGGAAATAAATAAATGGAGAGACAAAAATATATCTGAAACACTGAAAATCGTAAAAAAAAAGAGGAAATTGAGAGTCCATTATTGATCCGCCTCTGCTACCCATCTGTCCTGGACCTGTCCGTCTGAAGACTCCTCTCTCCCTTCCTCTCCCCCTCTTGGCAGTGGGTCAGTCTCCTCTCCATTTAGAACACTGGTAGATGGCAGTAGGCCTCCAGTGAAGCCAGCAGGATGTAGATCAGCCACATGGAGAAGAACAGCAGCGACGTGATAATCTTGCAAGTCCGCGGCCCCCCCAGCTCCCCCCCGGCCACCGAGGCCCGCCGCCGGTACAGCAGGATGAGCATGCAGATGACGGCCATGATGGTGTAGAGCGTGACGGAGAAGGCCAGGTTCCCTGGGTCCACCTTGAACACCTTGCCCCTGGAGCGCCACACCACGGCGGCCAGGGTCCACGCCACGCCGATGCCCAGGAACACGTTGACCGCGTTGGAGCCTGTGACGTTCCCGATGGAGGCGTCGGCGTACTGATCCTGGATGGCGGCTACCTTGCTGGCGAATGTGTCTGGAGGACAAAGACAAAGAGTTTACAATACATTTGAGGTGTTTTGATACCACATTTATTTAATGATGACCAATCCACAGGAAAAGCAATATGAAAACATACAAAATCAGGCAGGAAACAAATGTAAAACATCACCTGATGTCAAACAACACATCAAGTAATGTGACTTCATGGACTTTTGATTATCTATTATAAATGTCTTGCTGAAAGCCACTAAGGAAGTGACCTCAAGGTAACAAGGAGTATAAAACCACCCACTTATGGTAGCGTACTCTATCTATATCTACATCTATAGATATAATCTGACAGGCACTATAAAACAAGTTAGTGTAGAAATAGTCTATGGAATTGTTAATGAGAAGACTGTTAGAGATAAAGAGAGAAGCACATACGTACAGGCAATTAGTAAAAATAGACACATACTGAGACACATGGACTCAAATGAATTGAGAAAAAGGACTTGGAAATATCTGTATATATATAATAATGTAAGTGGCAAATACAAAGTATACACGAGCCACAGTTAAGATCCAGGTTGAAAAACCCCCCTGAATTTTCATTTCATTAACATCCATGTGATTTTATGATGTAAATTTGTCAGGGAAATTCATGTTTTAGTTCCGTACTCCGCAGCTGTATATTGGCATCAGCTTGAGACAGAACAGATGTCATTAATGCTGTAACATGATGCAGGCTGCTGCGCCTGCTTTGAGCTCTTTGGTGCTGAACATTGAGGAGGAATTGGGTAAAAGGCGCAGAGGCTCTACGACTGGGTTGGCAGGGAACAGCAGGGAACAGCTGCCAGTTATTGTGCGCCTGTCTCGGCTTATTTCTATTTATAGAGATGAGTTTCAATTCTCATTTGAATGTTAGGCGAGATTAGTGGAAATTCATATCCCAACATGAAGAAAATCCTCCAAACTTTCTTGGGGGGGATGAATTGTCAGCCCGTCGGAAGCAGACCTCACAAACAGAAATGAACGTGTCGACATAGGTAAATTAATCTGTGGGTTTGAGACATGAAATGGCACATTATTGCCTCCACACACAATACTAAGTACTGCTGGCAACACAGAAAACAAAACCCTGTATGAAATGCAACTTCACTAACGTTATACATTTTCTTGAATTACCTCTTAAAAGACCCAATTACAGATCCAGAAAGGACAATGAGAAGCTGGTAACTCTAAATATAAAATGGTTTATCTTGGTGATGTTAGTGAACATATTCCTCCTCTCTTTTGATATAAACGAGCCCCCTTAGCACACCTCCAGCCCCTTCAACAAGCCAATATGTCCTCTACCAGTCTAGCAGTAATGGTAATGTAATTTCTAGATTACAACTTTGTTATCCCCTGGTTTACTATGTTGTTACTGAATAACGGTTTCACATTACTGTAATGTAGAAGAAAACGAAGTGTGAATAGTGTACTTAACTGGTCAACGTCAGAAACATAGCAAGTTGGGAATGTAATCTATTACTGACAGGATTGTCTGAACACTGTTTGGGATTGAGGGATAACTACCATGATAATCTCTTGCCTGTAAGAAAAAGTGAACACGATGTCATCCTTAATACAAAGTGAACCAAATTGGATTTTTAGGAACAACATAGTGTAACTGTTACTAGATGTTGTGTTTTAATCAGGACTATATCTCCAGTAGAAAGTAAACAAACATGTACCCCCATTGTGCTGAGGTGGTGTTAGTAAAGAACATTAGCTGACCCTTTAAAAATGATGCTCAATTTCTTGAATGTGACACCAATAAAAAAAGACAAAACTATTTAAGTGCATGAGCCCATAAGCTCAGGATGCATTGTGTGAAGATAAACTATGATTTCATAGCAAATATCAAATATTGACATCACTGATATTGTTTACAGGCATGAATGGTAACAGATAAGCTCCATAAACCTCTTAACAGCCAGAAACACGCAGCAGTTCACAGCGATCAAGCCTCCGATCAGCATTTGCTCTCTAATTGCCTGAATCGGCAAAACTGGTGTAAATTGGCGGGATAATCCTCCAGTGTGTCTCCATTGTAATAATGCAGAGCTGCTTATTTCAAATTGTGCAAGTCAGAGAGCGGGTAACAAGAGAGGAGATGGTTCTAACAGACACATGAACACACACAAACACACACACACGAGGGAACACACACTCCCTGGGGAAGTAATAATGACCTAAGGAACCTGCCTCACCTTGGCAGAGAAAACACATTTTCACCCACACACACCTGGGTACCTCAGCACACAGAATGATGGATGATGCAACAGGGAAAACACAACATGCAATAAGAGGAGGGGAGAGAGGCAGAATGGAGTAGGGTAACACCGAGTCAGAATAATAAATTGACCGGGATGGGGCACGAGAGCACGGTAAGAGAGAAGTGAGAAGGGGTATGAGAGGGAGGAACAGATGAACATCAATGTGGCTTGTGTTGGGACAAACACACTGTTAATGGATATCAAATATGTGTTTACAGTCCCCAAATCCAGCACACAAAATAAATAATATGACTCCTAAAAGAATTGATACAGACTTTGCTGCGAGCCAAATAGTTCCTGCATGGAGGAATAGCAAAGGAGCTATTCCTATACATCATAAGGAGGGGCAACAATAAAACGGCTGCGAGAGAGATGAGGAAGGGAATTTAATTAAAGCCCTGGGACAACGCGTGCCCTTCAGGCGCAGACAAGCTCGGGCTCAAGGCTGTGATGGAGCCTCCATTTCACGCATTTTATTTCGAGCCTGCCTACTGAGGGCGGAAGCTATTCAAATCAAAAGATGAAGAAAGGATTAGTCCAATTCTTTTTATGGGTCTGTCAAATCCGAAATGTGGGAAAACTCAGCATCAGTAAAGGCAGTATGCGCCATGACACATTCAATGATTTGCCTCCATCTTTCTACTCACCTGGCACAGATGTTCCCAGCGCCACAAACACCACGGCCGTCACCGAGTCCTTCAGGCCGACCGTGCAGCCAAAGTGCGAGGCCAGGTCTCCGGTGACCGCCGTCAGGACGCCGATCAGCGATATGGAGACGATGAAGCAGGCCCAGCCGTTCCAGTACTCCGTGGGCGGGACGAAGGCGAACAGGACCTTCCAGAAGACGGTGAGGAAGTGCATGATGTAGTCGAAGCAGGACGGCAGCCGCTCCTCGCCGCTCTCCTCCTCATCGTCGTCTCCTTTGGGGGTGGAGGAAGATTCACACAGAGAGGAAAAGCAGGGAGATAATTGAAAGAAGTAGAAACAGTGAGTGGGCGATAACGTTACACTGTGTAACGTCAAATCTAAAGGCCCTGTCACACTGTCCCGAAATTGACACCCGATGGACACACGAATATGGAATTGTGAATTTCGCACGATGATGGCCCCGAACCACACACGAAGGCAACATTTACATTACATTTAAGACATACAACTGCAATGAAAGTACCAAAAACAATTATGTTACAGTACTATGATACTGTACTGATATCTTCAGACTTTGTTCTTTACTTTATCCGTCGTTATATGTAGAAAATATGACGTTTTCTCCGTAATGTTGTTTCCATAACAACAACAACTTCCTGTCAACTGTCCTTCAAAATAATATATTATATCCTTTTTAGTTTCACAGAACACAAATTGGGTTATTTACATAATATATTTACATGATTTTGTTGTGCAATAAAACAACCCGATGGACACACGATAAAGGAAATGTTCAAATTCGGCTGTGATCGTAGCTACATCGGGCCATTCGTGAGGGCATCTAAGCCATCGTATGACCGCCGGTGGAGTTTCTCAGGCTCCGACAGCAACTTCGTGAGCAGTGGCAAAATCTTTGACATGCCAAAAAATTGCCGAAGGACCTTGCGAAGGTTCATTTTGTGTTGAATTCGTGTATCAATTTTGCCCTTCGTAAGGCCATCGTGAGGGCATCTTGTTATCATCGGTGCCATCGGGCATTCGCCCCGATCAGAGTGAGGGTGAATGCACCGATGATAACACGAAGATGACACGATTTGACAAGATGCCCTCACGAGTGCCTTACGAAGTTGCCGCTCACGAAGTTGCTGCCGGAGCCTGAGAAACTCCACCGGCGGTCATACGAAGACTTAAGATGCCCTCACGAATGGCCCGATGTTGCTACGATCACAGCCGAATTTGAACATTTCCTTTATCGTGTGTCCATCGGGTTGTTTTATTGCACAACAAAATCATGTAAATATATTATGTAAATAACCCAATTTGTGTTCTGTGAAACTAAAAAGGATATAATATATTATTTTGAAGGACAGTTGACAGGAAGTTGTTGTTGTTATGGAAACAACATTACGGAGAAAACGTAATATTTTCTACATATAAAGACGGATAAAGTAAAGAACAAAGTCTGAAGATATCAGTACAGTATCATAGTACTGTAACATAATTGTTTTTGGTACTTTCATTGCAGTTGTATGTCTTAAATGTAATGTAAATGTTGCCTTCGTGTGTGGTTCGGGGCCATCTTCGTGCGAAATTCACAATTCCATATTCGTGTGTCCATCGGGTGTCAATTTCGGGACAGTGTGACAGGGCCTTTAAGGGAGGCGCACAATCTGAAGAGGCTAACTTTTAGCAAAAATGTATCCTAATTGATTTGACATAAAATCCAATAATTAGTTACATATTTGTGGTAATAAGTATTCTTGCCAAGAGTCTTTAGGACAGCTTGTCAGATTGTTGTATAAATCTGGCATTGATTAAACAAACAAGATACAATTTAGGAGTGAGATTTAGATGTAAAACTTGGAAAAGTGGTAATGCACTTCCAAGCACTTCCAAGCCTGTAATAAGCTAAATAGCTGCTATTATTAGTTTATGGACAAGAGACAAGTATTGATTTACTCATCAGTTGGCAAGAAAGCAAAAAAGAACACCCACTGTGTTTCTTTCCAGCGGGACTAGAGAAAACCTCCCTCCCTCTCTCTAGTGTTAACTACGCCCATATTGGGTGTTTAGAATCAACAATGAAACCTGCACAAGTACACTTTAAATAGTTAAATAAGTGCAAAAGAAAGGTTCAACATAAAATGCTGATGCAAACATTTCCGAAAATGTACTCAAATAGTCAAATAGGAACTCAAGAACCAGAATGTGTGTGTGTGCGTGTGTGTGTGTGTGTGTGTGTGTGTGTGTGTGTGTGTGTGCGTGCGTGTGGGTGTGTGTGTGTTACCTGCGCTAACAGTGACGGCGTTGACAAACTGCTCCCTCCAGCTGCTGCTTCCCACCACCAAGGCCAGGTTTGTCTTCTTGATCAACTTATCTACTGTATTCTACACACACACACAAACACACACGCACAAAAAGCAAACATGCAGGAGCACACAGACCAGAAAAGACACTCAAGTTGTTAATTCACTCATATCCACACAGAAACTTTTCAATTAGCTCTCATGCTGCAAAGATACATTTAAAAAGTCCGTAATTCATAACACTGACAACTTGAGGGTGGAGGATGCTCATTAATACGATGCTGTGAAATCTAGGAAACCCCTTCAGGCAGAGTGGGGGAGGCTTCTGTTTAATAGCAGCGAGGAAGGGGAATAATGAAAGTTGTTGATGCAAAACAGCTCCAGCAGTCATTATCATAACTCAGCTTTGTGAGGAGGAAACCCTGCATGATTTACTATTTAATAAGAGAGACCACATCATTTTATATTCAATATACTGTGAATTAGTAGTGTCAACAAGATAATTCAAATTAATTCCAGTGTGGGGCGACATTTAAGGATGTATGCATCGGACTGGGATTGTAACACCTCAGCATTGTTCAGTAGAAGATGGAGGAACTAGCGTTGCATGCACGAGAGAGGGAGGAAGATGGATAACCTGTTCAGCCCGCCAGAGAAGTGTGTGTACTGCTCTCTGCTCTCACACACACACACACACACACACACACACACACACACACACACAACACACACACACACACACACACACACACACACACACACACCACACACACACACACACACACACACACACACACACACACACACACACACATACACACATATATAGAATGACACAAATGGAAAAAATATGCAAATGAAATGGGCAACAAAAATATGATTTTCAAAACAATGACAAAAAGACAAAATCATGAGGAAATGATAAACAGAATGAAAACATTGCATGACAAAGACAGGCGCCTCAAGAGAGAATGATCTGTAATGATCCATGGCTGAATAACAATGCAATGCTTTTTTTACATAACATTTATTACATGACTAAGCAAATGTATTTCTCCTTTGCTGGATGAATGATCTACCAGCAACTTTTCTTTCCTCTAAGGCACCAAGACGACAGCTCAATTTGAGTTTGTTGTTGTCTTCTGCATGTGTGATATCAAAATGACATGCATCTCAACAGAGAATCCATTACATGCTAACAAAATGAATCATTCATCCTCTGGACCGGGGGGGGGATGGGGGGGAGCTAACACGCACTTTAAACCATTTCAGATGCAATTTGCATTTTGGCTCTGTTTAATTTTCTGAATGCCAAGCTGGTTGGCATTATTATTTCTACAAGACTATATGGTGATTCATCTGAAGAGCTTACAAAACAAGATTGCCTGTAAATGGAAATATGTGCAGAAGAAACCGGCTCACCTTGAACTCGTAGGACTCTTCGATGACCACCTCTACTTGTGTGTGTTCGCCCAGACTGGGACAGCCCATCTTGGCCACTTCTTCGTCCTCTGCTCCCACCAAGGGCTTGTTCTCATTGGAGTCCCCTGCAGAACCCAGAGAAGAAAGGGTCAGTGAGGTCAGTACGTTGGGGTGTAACTGTATGGAGGTTATTCAGTACCAACTAACAGAAAGCAAGTTAAAGGACATCAATTTCTGTTGCAGTGAGGAAACAGAGGTTGTGTACACATTCACTTTCATTCTGTAGTTTTTTGTTGTGAGTATTGCAGTGTTTTTTTTCATGTTATGATCATATTTTTGTACATTGAAGAACAGGCCTTCTGTTCTGGGGTTCTCTTCACTTTTTTGTTATTTTTACCTTTACCACAAAACCATTCAGTCACTTTATTAATATTGGGCTGAAAACACATACTGTAAACCTACTGGTCTAGGGTTGTTTACCCCACAGAGGAGATCATTGTTAGATGTGCTTTGTTTGTTTGTTTAGATTAAATAAAAACGACTGGCCTGGTTTTTATGAAATATTGTGAAATGGTAAGGCATGGGCCGAGGAAGAACCCATTACATTTGGGAGTGGATTCAAATCACAGGGTTCCTTTCAAGATAAGGCACCTTGCCCTGGCAAAGCTTTGTTGCTGGTGCGAATGATATCAGCCTATTAAATCAGTGGTTTTCAGCCTCATAAATCTAGGTCAGAAGGGACCTGCTGCACCAGGAGGAAAAAGAAGATGACAGTAACCTCTAGCCACTTGAGTTGTTATAATAAGAGCAATGGTAAACAAAAAGTCAGGTGATCAAGTGTTAAGAGTAACTCCATAGGGGTGGAGGGTCAGGAGCGATGGATACCCAGGAGGGCCGGTGTTCTTGTACCATATGAAACCAAACAACATCTTTATCACAATAGTTGAAGGTAGACGGTATGTTGCCCATTCATAGAAAGGTGGTCCCTTTATTGTCTAAACTAAATTAAGTTTTGTGTTCTGTTCAAGACGTTAAAATGTCAGGCCTCTCTTTCATATTCTTTCTCTGACAAAACAACCATAGAGCTTCGTGGTATAATATTTGTTAGTGCCATTCTCCTTATTAAGTATTATATATGCATTGAGCTTCGGCCTGGCATTGAACTAAAATCATTTTCCATGTATTTTTTACATTTGTCTGATTTTTACCAGAGCAGGATGAATTGTTTTTATGGATTTGCTGGGTTTTCATTTATCAAAGTGTGCTGGCAGCTGTGAAATTGTAAATGCTAATATTCAAAGGATGATGTGAGAAATCGGATCAATCAAACTTTCCATGTTATAGTAAATATGAAGACCCACGAGGAAGGGCCGATGTTCTCACATGAAACAATCTCTCTATCTCTCAAACACCAAACGTTCCTCCACACACCCCTCCATTCATCCATACGTCTCCTCCTCTCTCTTCAAACTCAGTGTCTGTCAGTAATTGAGTCAACTGTTATCAGTGTAAACCTGCTGTAATTGAAAAGAAACGACAGCATGTGCGTGTGTGTGTGTGGTTCAGTGTGTGTATGTCCCTCCACATGTGACAGTCCTATAAAACCAATTAAATTCCCTCTGTGATGAAAACATGCCCTGGGCTGCTGGCTCTTCATGACATGACATGGAGAGAACAGACCTTTCCCCCACCAGATCTGTCACTTTATCTACAGAGGAAGTGTAGCATAAGCAGCACCATCATCACCATCATCACCATCATCACTGCTCCATCTGTGTTCATACAGGACGCATTCAGGCAGCGTGTCAAGTGTAGGTCACCCGGCGTGTAGCATAAGGCAGATTTACTCTAATTTTTCTTCCACACTTGCCCCTGCTAACATCTCAGTAAATGAGCTAGTAGATCATTTGAATTCAAAATTAAAAATGTATAGATGCCATTGCTCCACACTAGGGTAAAGGAAGTGACTGGGAAGAAAATATCTCCATGGAGAAAGGCCATGACCGTGAGTGCAGAAAAAAGAGTGTCGAAAAGCTGAACATAGGTGGCGAAAAACAAATCTCCAGGTTCACTTTGAAATCTATAAAGAGAGACTTGGCCTTTATAATTTGGAATTGAAAACGTTCGACAGTCTTTCTTCTCTGACATCATTACCAAAACAATGCACGTGCCTTGTTGCTAACCGTCGACAGACTAACTAACCCCCCAGTGTCAGTAGCCCTCTTGTCAAATCTGAGTTGACAAATATGACATGTGGGGTTCCTCAAGGCTCCATCTTGGGGCCTCTTCTCTTAACGTCTACATGCTACCACTGGCTCAGATAATGAAAAACAAACAAAATAAGTTACCATAGCTATGAGGATGACACACAAATTTACGTAACAATTTCACCAGGAGACTATGCTCCAATTCAAACACTGAGTAAGTGCATTGAACAAATCAATGACTGGATGTGTCAGAACTTCTCTCCAATTAAACAAAGATAAAACTGAGGTAATGGTCTTTGGAGCCAAGGCAGAACGTATAAAAGTTAGCGCTGAGCTTCAGTCTGCAATGTTCAAAACAACAGATAGAGCCAGAAATCTAGGTGTAGTCATGGACTCTTGACCTGAGATTCAAACAGTCACATTAAAACAGTTACTAAATCAGCCTACTATCACCTAAAGAATATATCTAGATTAAAAGACTAATGTCACAGCAGGATTTGGAAAAACTTGTCCATGCTTTTATCTTCAGTAGACTGGACTACTGTAATGGTGTCTTTACAGGTCTCACTAAAAAATCTATTAGAAAGCTGCAGCTGATTCAGAACGCTGCTGCTCGAGTCCTCACTAACACTAAGAAAGTGGATCACATCACTCCTGTTCTGAAGTCTTTACACCTGGCTTCCTGTGTGTCAAAGAATAGATTTCAAAAATACTGCTGCTGGTTTATAAAGCACTGAATGGTTTAGGACCCAAAATACATTTCTGACCTCCGGCTAAATTATGAACCATCCAGATCTCTCAGGTCTTCAGGGACTGGTCAGCTTTCTGTCCCCAGAGTCAGAACTAAACATGGTAAAGCAGCGTTTAGTTATTATGCTCCAAATATCTGGAACAAACTCCCAGAAACCTGCAGGTCCCTGCAACTCTGACTACTTTTAAATCCAGACTAAAGACTTTCTTTTTGCCGCTGCTTTTAATTGAACTATTCGCATCTAAACTGCACTGTAACTTTTATCCATGTATTTTTTTCTTTTAATGTTTATTTTATTATCTTTTCTTTTTAATGACTGATTTTAAATACCATTTTCTTAATGTCTTTCGTTTTTTGTAAAGCACTTTGAATTGCCTTGTGTTGAAAGGTGCTATATAAATAAACTTGCCTTGCCTTGCCTTATATGAGATTTTGGTTGATTGCCATTTTCCTTGTCATTGAGGCGCTAAATAATGAATTAGTTGCAATCTTACTTGTGTATACTGAGGGTGGGAAGTGAAAGAAATACTGTATGTCGTAGAGCAATGGTCCCAAACCTGCTCGGAGTGTTTTTTATTGGCCTGAAGAAAAATAAATCAATGCAGCTGCTTTCTTCCCCCATAGAATAATGTGTAGTGGTCTGAAACCCAGGTTGACAACCAGTCTATTAGAGAGAGGTTAGATGTGTGTACATTATTCAGTGAGGCAGAGAACAGAAGAAAGGATAGAAAAGGGTGAATTGAGGATAACTGACACAAAGGAACGGTCTCTGTAAAGTGAAAGGACTCAACAAAAGTCTCTCCACATTTCTTTTTGTCTTTTCTGTCAACATTCGAAAGAAATGTCAAAGCTGAACAAGCAGTAGAAATTACTTATTGACTTTCAGCGCCGGTTCTCTTTAGCCTTGAGTAACCTGCCAGAGAAGCTGTCTGTCACTGTAATTGGCCTTTTTAGAAATGAACTTCCTACATTTTTTAGAAGTTGAGGGGCTTAATGTTTTAGAATAGTGGATTTCAAAGCGCTGAGGTTATCTATGTGGACTCAAAAAGATTTAACTGACAGAGGAGAGGAAGGAACATGATCAAAATAGATAATAATTTAAATTGCGTTAAATATGGAATTATGAACAAAAAATGAAAATGTGTAGTCCTTTCAAACACACATATAGATTTGTTTTTTAAACACCTCACAGCTCACGTCCAGAGTTCTTTAAATCCTTTCCACGTGCTTCGTTCAGTGTGAAATGTTTCCCAAGTTAATCCGAGTTTGGATTGGTGGATTCAGACAATCAATGAGAGTCTCACTCTGTGAATAAGACTTTGGTGTGCAGGAGACCTGAACCTTAAATTAAGACTCATTCTGTTCGTCACACACTCTTAAACACACAAACTCACTCACCGTGTTTCTGCCCTATCTCCAGCAGAATGGGCTCTCCCAGCTCCAGGGTGAAGGTCTTGTTCTTCTCATACAACTCATCATCAATGATCTTCACCTCGATGATCTTCCTGTTAAAAGAAGAAAAGAAGATATCTTTAAAAAGTTGCACTCCTCTGTTTTGTCTTGCAGAGGATGATGAGCAGTGTACGCAAGATTAAAACCCAAGTTGACATTACTCAGAGGCGCACTCTTATGAGGCAGCTTACCCCCCCAGGCCCTGGTTATATATTTCTTCCAGCTGACAGTGATGCAATGCAGCACAGCCACAGTAGGAAATGTACAATCAGGAACACCTAGGGGTAACCCTCCAATTGCAGCGCAAAGAGTTTTGAGGGGACACTATCCAGAACACATAGAGTACGATTCAAAGTAGTTGTGTGAGAAATGTCTTATTATAAGGAAAAAAGTTAGATGGCATCTCTGAGATATGTCAGTATATTTAGATCAATTTAAAAAAGTGAAAAAATATTGAACATACATTACTTGAAAAAAGAGTATGGGAGCCCTGAGAAGGAAGTGAGAAAAAACTAATTCTGGTGATCAGTTTTTTAAAATCTGATATTTCTGAGTTTAATGCACTCTAATCACACAATTTTCTCACTTTTTTCCCCTGTTCTAAAGCCTTAAACATAGGTGATATTTATTTGTATTTGATCTAAGTGCACCATTAAAAAAAGGTTTGCCAGGTGTGTGGTGGATACACTAATGTAGGCAGCAATTACAAATTAGTAACATAAAATGTAATCAACAGATAAAAAAGTATTTGACTGCTGTGTAATTGATGCTGGTACACATATTTGTATTGATATTGGAGAATAATAACCTCAGTATGAATAAAGTAAATATTCAAATAACTAAATCTTTAATAACATCCCATAATTTAAAAACTGTCCTGGGTAGCAACATGAGATGTGTATACGTTTTCTATGGAAATCACATCCGTTTGGCCTCTTTTGTCCTGTTTCCACCCAGAGTTATATGGGTGACAGGCAATGAATTAATTTCCACCTGGTGGTGTCATCATCTGCTTCCCTGTCAGCCATGTTGGCTGTGACGCCACAAAAAGGCTTCAGTTCAACAAAGAGAAACCAGAGGGAGGAAGGAGTGGAGGAGGGGGTGAGAGAGTGATGGAGGTGTGGGGAGCTGGAAGCACATTGTTTTCATTGGTGAGCTGTCACGGCAACAGCGGATAAAAACCGGCTGGATTTTCTATTTCCAGAGTCAGGTTGAGCTGCCTCCTTTCAACAATGTTGGAAAAGATATGAAAGTGTGGTTTAGTCAGATGTGGAACAATGGAGGGGAAAAAACACCCAACAACGATGAGTGATGTATGCAAATCCATTAAGTGAAGGACAAGTGAGAACAAATTAAATATCTGTTATATTTTAAATCTTGCATCTGATTTATATTTTCCTGTCCCTAAAGGCCCTGTCACACTGTCCCGAAATTGACTCCCGATGGACACACGAATATGGAATTGTGAATTTCGCAATAAAACAACCCGATGGACACACGATAAAGGAAATGTTCAAATTCGGCTGTGATCCTAGCAACATCGGGCCATTCGTGAGGGCATCTTAAGTCTTCGTATGACCGCTGGTGGAGTTTCTCAGGCTCCGGCAGCAACTTCGTGAGCGGCAACTTCGTAAGGCACTCGTGAGGGCATCTTGTCAAATCGTGTCATCTTCGTGTTATCATCGGTGCATTCACCCTCACTCTGATTGGGGCGAATGCCCGATGGCACCGATGATAACAAGATGCCCTCACCATGGCCTTACGAAGGGCAAAATTGACACACGAATTCAACACGAAAATGAACCTTCGCAAGGTCCTTCGGCAATTTTTTGGCATGCCAAAGATTTTGCCACCGCTCACGAAGTTGCTGCTATGACCAGCGGTCATACGAAGGCTTAAGATGCCCTCACGAATGGCCCGATGTTGCTACGATCACAGCCGAATTTGAACATTTCCTTTATCGTGTGTCCATCGGGTTGTTTTATTGCACAACAAAATCATGTAAATATATTATGTAAATAAGGCAAGGCAAGGCAAGGCAAGGCAAGGCAAGTTTATTTATATAGCACTTTTCAACACAAGGCAATTCAAAGTGCTTTACAAAAAATGAAAGAGATTAAGAAAATGGCATTTAAAATCAGTCATTAAAAAGAAAAGCTAATAAAATAAACATTAAAAGAAAAAATACATGGATAAAAGTTACAGTGCTGTCAATTAAACATTAAAAGAAAAAAGTACATGGATAAAAGTTACAGTGCAGTCTAAGATATGAATAGTTCAATTAAAAGCAGCGACAAAAAGAAAGAAAAAAAATAACCCAAAAATAACCCAATTTGTGTTCTGTGAAACTAAAAAGGATATAATATATTATTTTGAAGGACAGTTGACAGGAAGTTGTTGTTGTTATGGAAACAACATTACGGAGAAAACGTCATATTTTCTACATATAACGACGGATAAAGTAAAGAACAAAGTCTGAAGATATCAGTACAGTATCATAGTACTGTAACATAATTGTTTTTGGTACTTTCATTGCAGTTGTATGTCTTAAATGTAATGTAAATGTTGCCTTCGTGTGTGGTTCGGGCCATCTTCGTGCGAAATTCACAATTCCATATTCGTGTGTCCATCGGGTGTCAATTTCGGGACAGTGTGACAGGGGCTTTAATAGGAACATTTTAGGCTTTTAATTTGTTTAAGCAACCAATCAAAATGGTTATGCGAATCATTGACATAAAAAACACCCCCATGCATTTCGCATTCAGAAAATAATATATTTTTGGTGGGGTTAAAAGATTTAACTCAATTAAAAATAATATGAATATATAACTTTTTACCTGCAGTTTTAGAAATGTGACATTTTTGTCTTAAAAGATAATATATAGTACCGTTTTCATGACATTACCAATTTGTTTCTGTGTTGTTACTAAATCCCCGAATGTGATACGACTGAAAGTGTAAAATAAAAATAATGGAATTGATATTATTATTATTATTATTATTAAAGGGAGCAACAAGGGTTATTCGTTTGCAGCCATCTGTCTGTGGTGTTTGGAAACTGGAATCGGCAGTGAGATACACTCATGTAAAAAGGAGATAAAAGGGATAAGGGGGAGAGATGAAAGAAAAAAAGAAAAAAATTGGAAAAAGGACAACAGATTACGAAGCGAGAGAGGGAGGGAGTAAAGAATAAAAAGGAACGAGGCAGAAAGACTGAAAGAGGTTGAAAGAGGGGAATGAGTAATGCAGAGACTCCATTGAGATGTGAAGGGTTATGACTCAATACTCGGTGAGTTCACTCAGGGGAACAAGAGCGCACACACAAACACACACACACACAGCAGCGGACTAAATGTACCTTTCATATACAAACAGACAAACTTCAACAGGAGGAAGCACACAGTGGATATGTACACACTAAATGTCTTTCTTACTGCACATCGTACACATTACGCAGAGAGCGGTTTGTATGAACAGACAGCCAGCCGCCCCCACATGTAAACCACGCTTCACCGGTGACACACAAACACACACATGTACACACAACTCAGCTGAATGCACAAAAACAACATGCAAACATGTACCTGGTAAACACTTGGGGATTTGTGCACATATGGGTCAATTAATTAATGTAATTCACACATACAAACACACACAAACACACACACACACACACACACACACAACACACACACACACACACACACACACACACACACACACACACACACACACACACTGCAGTGTTTTCATTATTCATAGTTGGTGCTAGCTGTAGCAGCGCTCCATCTGTGCCCTGCTTTCTTCATCTCTATCTCAGCCCTCCCCCTACCAGCAACTCTGATGGGATCCTTATTATCGGTGATTTCAATATTCACCTGACTGATGATAATGTATTGCACCTCCTGCTACTAGAGAGGGAAGTGTCCACTGCTGTTGAGTGACGATAAAGGTATGTTCAGAAACAGGCCTGCAGATTGAAGCAAACATTTTGTAAATCCTAACTTGGATTTAACTTTTTCTCATGGGACGAGTGTGTTTAAAATCACGAAAACTCATCATTTCAACCTCTCTTCTTGTCTTTCTTTCTGTGTCTTTCAGTTTCTTCTCTCATTTTGGTGAATAATGTGCTTCAGGTTGATCTGGAAGCCTAATGCTAAAGAATGGTGCAGCAGGGCTTGTTTTGTTTATTAATGGTTTATAAAGCTCTGGCTTTAAATTTCATGCACTTAAGTTTGATTAAGTTGATTAGACACTATGAGAAATACATGTATAGTTATCAGCATAACTACAAAGGGTCAAGGGTAGTTGATTATAGTCTAATACTTGACAAATTCAACAGAAAAATGTATCAAATCAGTCAAACTTGATCAAAACTAGATAATGGGATAATAAGCTAACACTTCATTCTTTCTTGCAAGCTGGACCTTCTTTGCTGTGACAGCAATGTGGCTTTTGGGATGGCTATGTAAAGCTGTCCAGGTTGAAATATCTCAACAACTTTGATTGGCATGTCAGTCAATATGTCCTCATCAACAACAAGATGCCATGAAAAACATCTGGACACACACTCCCATGACTTCATGAAAAATGGATACATTCCTGAATGCAATACGTTGCTCATCGTCTCTCTCCTTCTCTCATATTATGTCCACCTTGTTACTTGTTCACACCTGCTCCCCAGAAACTTCCCGTGTCAGACAGTTTTCTGACAGCAGACAGTCCGACACAAAACACAGACATACCAAGGTCACTGAACACAGCACCTGCACTGTCAGAAAAAAAGGCAGCCGAGTAAAACGAGTGACGGAGCGGTACAAAAAGAAGGTATTGTTGATTGAAAAGCCCCAAACAGGATCAGGGTGGCTGCAAATCAGTTTAATGGATACATTTTATATCGCCCCAGTGTGTGTGTTTGCATGTGGCCCTAAAGGTCTTGTGGAGGAGAATGATTGAGCTACAGTTTGATTTATTAGTTGAGACCTCATCACATTACTTAATGGACAGGACTCTCTTTATATCTCTGCCTCCATCTCTTTCCATTTTAATCTGG